CCCCAGATGCTCCTCCTGCCCCGTGGAAGATCACCTCCATGTCCCACGCTGTTCTGCTCCTACTGCAGCTGCAGAATGGTCAAAACGCCATCTGGCCTTCCGGACCTGGATGCAGACTCAGCAGACTTCCCCAGAAATCGAAGCCTTCCTCTTTGAATACCTGAAGACAGTCCGCCAGCCTTCCTTGGGAGTCCCCAACGTCCGAGCCTGGTCCCGCCGTCCCCACCTCTTCCAAAGTGCCATCTCCCCCCAAGCCAAGCTTGGGGCCCAGGGCCTCCTTGAAGGCCTAGTGTCCCTCAAATGGAGACACCTGCAGGCCCTTCTTTTCTCCTACATCGGCTCCAAGAAGTCCGCCAACCTTTGGGCCTCCCGCCTGATCCAACAACTGATCCGAATCGGGCACTACATGTGGAAAGACCGCAACCGGCTTGCCCACTCTGAAGATAGCTCCTGGTACACGGCCCGCAAGCGGGAGATTGACATCGGCATCCGCGAACAGTTCGCCATGGGCCTGATGGATATCCCCAAACGCTAATGCATCAGTTATATATATTTACGATATTGTAGTTGACCGATTGTCCTGGGCAAAGCCAAACAGGTCGGTCATGTTGCAGTCAAACCATGTGAGGTTGTCAAACGCTCAATGGTGCTGTTTGTACAGTTCATCAGTTGGAAGAACACAATTGAAGTTCTCAAAGAAATCAGTAGTTTCATCTAGTTTAGAATCCTTAAAAGAAGTAACAGCGTTATTATTCTTAAGAACTCCTACAAGATCAAACAGGCGTTGTTCGTCCTCAGGATTGCAGTTGGGAACGGAGTTTGCCCATTTTTCCATATCGTTGACCAAATGATCCAGTACGCATGAATTCCAATCAGTGTCGTAGGTGAGTACGACATGTGGGATGTTGGGATTACTCAGCTCACGATCTGTTGGTGGGCGCATTCGCAGATATGGGAGGCCATTGCTGATGTCAAGTGGTAAGACAAAACCATCTGGTGTTGTCAAGCGCTGTTGACCACCAACTTTGGTAGACTTGTCGTCCATGACAATCTTGAAATGTTCCATTTATCCGCTGGACAGAATGGATTAGCCACTTCCAATGTAGGCTTGTTGGCGTATGATTGCAATGATGATGCGGGCATCGTCTCCAGCAATGCCGCCGTTGGCACCTCTATCAATCAAAGCTAGATGTTTACGAGTGTTGGCTTTCTGAATAGAATAGATAACATTATGATTATTAACTGATCTATATTTTACTCCATAAAACTGAACTCTACCCAGCTGACCGTATAGAAAGGTTACAAAAGAAATAGAGAAGAAGAATTCCAGATTCCGGTGGTCATGAATACTTCAAATGACCACCGTAGGAAAGTGAACGTACAAAGTACGAAGC